AATCCAGCACCCTTAACCACCATGCCACCTGCTGGGCCCTGAATGTGTTTTTCATACTGCTAAGTCCAGGACTTGAACTGTGTAGTCAGACATGTGCGATTGTCTCTGAAACCACCAAGCCACTGGATGACCCTTTTTTTTTTTTTTTTTTTTTTTTTTTTTTTTAGGTTTTTGTCATAGGGCTTGTGTGCTTGCTGGAGAGAAACAGAAAGAGACAAAGGTGAAGCGAGAAGTTATCCCCCCACACTCCGGGGGGAGGGGCCACACCACAATCTCTTCCCTTCCATTTTCATCTTGGGATTTTGGGCACACACACACAGATGTGCCCAGCGTGATTTTTAATCTGTTGAGTTCAGGACTCAAACTAGTCAGTCATGCCGGGAGTCCAGCACCTTAACCAACACGCCACCTGCTGGCCCCATTTTTCTTTTTTCTTTTTTTTTTTTTTTAATTTATTTCATTATTTATTTATTTTAATTTGACCAGAGAAGAACAGGGAGAGAGAGAAAGAAAGAGAGATGAGAGAGAGAAAGCCACCAGGTCTGGGACTCAAACCACAGTCGGCCATATGAGAGTCCAGCACCCTTAACCACCATGCCACCTGCTGGACTCCTTTTTAAAAATTTCTCTTGGGCATGTACACTTACCAGAGAGACAGAGAGAGAGTTAGACATCATCCCCTGGGAGGATGGTCACACCACCATCACTTCTCCTTCATTCTCCTCTTGGGATTTTGGGCATACACATGCACACACTCCCAGCATGAGTTTCAAGCCTCTGGGTCTGGATTTGAGCCACAGTTGGGCATGTGGGAGTCCAGCGTCTTAACCACCATGCCATCTACTGGCCCCACAAATAATTCTTTAAAAAAAAATAACAGTTTCCCAAAGAGCATGTGTATTTGCTAGAGAGAGAGAGAGAGAGGAGAGGGAGAAAGCACTCCCGCAGGGGGCATGGCCACACCATAATTCTTTTTCCGTTTACCCACTTTGTTGGGATCTGGGGCACACACACACAGCCCACACACTTTGCAAGCCACAGGGCCAGGATTCAAACCATGTAGTCAGTCATGTGAGATCTGGCACACCTAACCACTAGGCTGCAGAGCCAGCCCTGGTTGCCATCTTTGTGCCAATTGGTTCTTAGTTCAGTTATCACCCAGAGAGCCTTTCCTTACCTGCACTTCTATAAAGGCCTCTCTTCTCCCTAGTTACACCATATAGTTCTCTTTTTTAAAAATTAATTTTATTATTATTTGCCAAAGGGCATGTGCACTCACCAGAGAGAGACAGTGAGAGGAAGAGAGAGAGGGAGGGAAAGTGAGAAAGCAAGAATCTAGGTCTGGAACTCAAACTGCGGTTGGCCCTGTGGGAGTCCAGCACCTTAGCCACCTCACCACCTGCGGGCCCACACCACATATTTATTTTCTTTATAGCACTTACACTATCTGAAATTATCTTGCTTTTCTTTTACTATCTTAAAATCTCTCATATAAGCCAGTTCTTGAGCAATGCCTGGCACATTTTTTAAATGCTCACTAAAATCCAGGCATGCTGGCACATAACTATAGTCCCAGCTACTTGAGAGGCTGAGGCAAGAAGGTAGGAGGATCACAACACAGGAAGACCCTGTCCAAAAAACAGAACACACACATGCACACACACATATATCACACAAAAAATACTAAATAAATTCATCTTGAATGAATCTGTGAGAGAAGTAAGGATGAAGAAATGAAGGGTACAGGGGCTTAATAGTGTCCCAGCAGTAATACACACTGCTCTTTGAGGTTGACTCACATGAGAAGGTTCTGGATTCAAGTCCAGAGACCTCCCTGACTGCACCAGACACACGTGTCCATGATCTGGGGCTGGCTAAAGCTGGGGGTAGATTGCATCAAGACTCCTTCAGGATTACTGTTTCTCTGTCTGTCTGTATGTCTCTTTAACTCACAGAAATACTTTTTTAAAAGTTCATCAAAAATAAAGAATAAAGGGGCCAGCAGGTGGTGTGGTGGTTAAGAGTGCTGGACTGCCACATGGCCAACCGCAGTTCGAATCCCAGACCTGGTGGCTTGCTTTGTCACTTTTTCTCTCTCACTTTTTCTCATTCTGTTCCTCTCTGGTCAAATTCAAATAAAAAAATACATAAAGTTAAATAAAATAATTCTTTTGGGACCAGCAGGTGGCATGGTGGTTAAGGTGCTGGACATTCCCACATGGCCAACCGTGGTTTGAGTCCCGGACCTGGTGGCATGCTTTCTCACTTTCCTTCTCTTCTCTCTGTGCATCTCTCACTGGTCAAATTAAAATAAATGAATGAATAAATGAAGTAAAGTAAATAGTTAAAAAATAAATAAAATAATTCTTTAAAAACAAAAAGAGTAAAATGAATTCTTAGTGTTATTTTTTTTTTAAAGAGATTTTTGCTATAAGGCGTGTGTGCTCGCCAGAGAGACAGAAAGAAATCACCCCCTCATCCCCCACCAGAGATGGTCACACCGCAACCCCTTCTCTTCCATTCTCCTCTTGGGATTTTGGGCATGCATGCACATGCATGCTCCCAGTGTGTTTTAAATTGCTGGGTCTAGAACTTGAAATGCAGTCCACTACGTAGGAGTCCATCAATGTAACTGGTAACGCCATTTGCTGGTCCCTAAATTCTTAGTTTCTGGGAGAGATGGTCAAGCATCTTGCCACTGGTTTGGGGGCTTGAGCCTTCTATAAGGCCTAGGTTTGCTTGACATAGCCTGGCCAGTTTCCCAGATTTGTTTCCTGCTTCTTGATCACTGTGATTTCAAGATAGGCTCATATAGTCCTCTGTTATCACCAGTGGCAGTCTGTGGCTGGGTATAGCATTTCCTCTGTACAGATGAAAGATAGGCAACTGCTGGCTTTTCTGAGATTACCAATCTCGAGTCTTTAACTGGTTTAACAAAATCTCTCACTTGTTACCTGACTACATGCAGAGCCAGCATTGAAAATGAATAGTCCCTTGTGACTTTTCGAGGTCTTCTGGTGATGCCTCCAGCCTGCCAGAGACTTACCTGTGCCATGTATCTGCTAATGAACATGGTGGTTTATCTGGTCCAGCCCGGCTGCCATAATGAATGCTCAGAATAATTTTACAGCAGTGGTAAGAGGGAGTGTGGGTGGAGATGCCAACCAACTCCCATCCCAGAAGAAGCTTGGGGTCAGCCATAGTGGGGATTTTGTACCCACAGAATATTGTTTTAGGGGCTCCTTTTGAAGTCCCTGAGTCCCCACCTAATCTCTCGGGTTCCGGTTTTGTCTGATCTGGTCTCAACCGTTCTTTTGAGTCAAGACAGCTGACGCTGCATTTTTGGACATGATCAATGAGGATTCCACGTCTCAAGCTGCCCGTGTTCCCTGACATGCGGTATTGGCAGAGCGGGACAGAAATGCACCAGGGTGGTAGGAAGACCCACGGACTCTGGTCAGAGGCTTTCGTCGGGCTGGCACAGTTGTCCATTCCAGCTCTGTGTAGAACTGTTAATATCTGGGTGCATTTCCTCAGCTGAGTTAGAACCTAATCTGATGCATGGTTCAAATGACCCAATGGATATGAAGATCCTTTAGGAAGATGTCATCCCTTCTCAAGAGAGGGAGGGGACACTGGTGTGGAGGTGCGTAAGGACCCGCAAGCAGGCCAGCAAAAAATTACCGACAGGCAGACCAAACCCGAATCCTGAGACCTGTTTTCTTATTTATCCATCCTTGAAAACAAGAGTCAAAGTTGCAGCTAGAAGCAGGACTCCTGGGCAAAGCAGTCACAGCTCGTTAATAACGTTTGAGCTCCATATTGTGGGCCGGGCACTTATTATCATCTTAAACTTCACAATATTTTACATTTGAGCTCTTGCCTAGTCTGCCAGCAGCAAGGACAATAAGCCGGGTCTTTTCTTCCCCCACTACCTGTGTTCTTAACCTTACTCAAGGCTGCTTTGCTCTCTAGTAAGAAAGACTTGAGAGGGAACAGCAGTTAGCTTAACGCTATGCAGTTAGCTTAACGATTGTATTGAACTCCCATGTTTGAGTTGCGGACCCGGTGGCTTAAACTGACGCCGGGCGGGTGTCTGTGCGTGCCCAAGATCCCGAGAGGAGAATGGAGAAGGGACTGCAGCGTGGCCATCCCCCTGGGTGGTGATTTCTCGCTTTCTGTCTCTCTGTCTCTCTGTCTTTCTGGCGAGCGCACGTGCCCTATAGCAAAAACCTCTCCAAAAAATGAAAAAAAAAAAAAAAAGAAGCAGGTAAAAGGAAGGAGAGAGAGATGTAGGAAAAGGCTCTGAGCGTCTGGAATGTACCTGGTCGGGTTAAGCTCACACAAAGTATTTTCTATTTTTTAAGTCATTGAATTGGCCACATTCTACCGGCCATCTTGGTTGTGGCAACTCCAATTTCTTTGACTTTTTTTTCCCTTGTGACGAAGGGAATCAGACAAACCGCCCTAGCCGGGAATTTTATGGAGTCTCGGCAACGCCCGGGTAGTGAGAGCCGCTTTCCCGCCCGCCCGTTCAGGACGCGGGCGGGCCTTGGAGAATCCGGCCTCCACCCTCACTCGGCTCCTGTTCCAGGGTCGCCCCCCGCCGGGG